TTCATTCGGTGTTTGCCAACCTGGTTTCTTGGTAGGAATTTCCAGAGAGTCCCAAAGTATTATTCGATTATCTAAGATAACGTATTACTTATGTATTAAAAAATATATACAGGGTGAGTCCGAAGAAACAGAACACCTAAATATCTCCGTTACATTTCGTTGTACAAAAAAACTTCTTAGGACAAAGTTACACTATTTGAAGGGCCACATGTAACGGTATAGGAGGAAAAAATGTTCAAGGTCATCGATGTTTTTTTTAAATGGAATGATATATCTTTGTTAACGTAATGTTGTAGCTGACAAAATAACGAATTCATCCATGTACTACAATATGACCTACAAATGACCTTCAACCCAAAAAAATGGAATAAATAAAATTCAACGTGTAAGATTGGAAATCTTAGGAAACATTAGAATTAGAAATCAGAGAGCAAGAACGTCTTCAGACTGATCAGCAGTTGCATACACGAATGTGTAGAAAAACATAGATAAAGGTATATCATAAATGTCTTCCTGTCAACACCGAATCTGTTATTATGTTGTGTATTGCGATACATTTCAATGTATAGCAGCTCAAATTAATATTAATTTGAATATTCAAAATATTTTGAAACAGGAATAAAGCAAATGAATCTTACATGTTGAATTTTATTTATTCCATTTTTCTGGGTTGAGGATCATTTGTAGGTCATATTGTAGTACATGGATGAATTCGTTATTTTGTCAGCTACAACGTTACGTTAACAAAGATATATCATTCCATTAAGGAAAAAAAAAAAAAAAAAAAACACATCGATGATTTTGAAATTTTATAAAAAAAAAGAAAAGAAAGAAAGAAAGACCTTGAAAATTTTTTCCCTTACACCGTTACATGTGGGCCTTCAAATAGTGTAACTTTGACCTAAGAAGTTTTTTTATACAACGAAATATAACGGAGATATTAGGTGTTCTGTTTCTTCGGACTCACCCTGTATACAGGGTGTCCCAAAAATGTTGTAACACCTTGATAGGGTGGTTCGGGATGTGATTTGAAACAACTTTTTCCTTAGCGAAAATGTTTTCCGAGGCTTCGTTAAGGAGATATTAACAGAAAACGTCGACCAATCAGAGCGCGCATATGCCGTTGGAGCGGCCGCGCTCGTACGCAAACAAGTGACTCGACGTGCATCGAAGGACATTGGACGCGGCCGCTCCAACGGTATCCGCGCGCTCTGATTGGTCGGGTTTTTTTTAATTAATATCTACTTAACGAAGCCCCATCCGACATTTTTGTAAAGGAAAAAGTTGTTTCAAATCATTTCCCGAACCACCCCTTTCAATGTGTTTCAACATTTTTGAGACACCCTGTATATGTATCGTAACTAATAAGTTCGTTGATTTCTAAAATACAGAATCACTCGAAGATTCTTCGTATCAGCCAGAGAGCAGTTTTATAAATCATGTCTGAATCGGCTATTTTTAATCCCGAGTTCTTAACATTAACCGTCGTTACTGAATCATCGAACAAGCATCGAAGCGTATCCATGCGAGTTCTTGGAACCTTCCTTTCCTGCTCGACGAAAATGCTAACATTTAAGAAATCCAGATGGCAACTTATTTCAGATCTTGCGCCACGTAACCTAACCTATATAGGACATGCAGAATTCCTGGTGAAGTTTTAAGACCGGTCGTCGCGATATAAAGAGAATCAAAGCGAACGTGTTTGGGACACGGCGTTGAATTTCGGATTTGCTTAAAATTAACGCCGATTCAAGAGAAATCGGAAACTCGAACAAAACGATGACTTTTACACAAAAAGTTACAAAGTACACGCAATCATCGCAAAAGCTCGAACAGATAATGATAGGAGATTATCAATATCGTTTCGTATTTCTCTCGAAAGGCATATGACTAATCTCGAATTACCACGATTATCGAATAACAGCTACCTTCAGGGCACCAGTACTGTATTTTGCTCGTGGTGTCGCCCCAACCGTTCGCCCCATTTTTTTGAACATCACACGGTGATATGTTTATAATTTCACCCATCGTGTCACTTGGTCGATTTAAACAAAAAAAAAAAAGAAAAAAAAAGAAAATATGACAAAAACAGGATCCACCGTATAGCCGTTGTTTACTTCTACGTGTACTAATCGAACGTCATTTGGATCGATTCTCATGAAAACACTAGGGAAATTGCAAGTTCAATGTACTTGCGTGTGCAGTGACATTAGCAAAGGTGACACTATAAAAAAGATTGCACACAAGTCACTTTTTCGATGTAAGACAAGGCACCACATTTTTTTTTTTTTCGACACAGACGATTCAAGACACAACGCGGCACGACGATAAAATAAGACACTCTCGCGACCGTTCCGGCAGAAAATTAGTCACAGATTTCATAGACGCGTCGCTGCGAACACGATTGATCGCGAGAGCGACTCACGAGTCGGCCACCGATCGCGGACACGCGCTATCTTCAGAGTGCAACAGACTTCAAGTCGACTCCACCGCTGACAGATTAAGAGGGGATTGCCACTAGGAATGTGCAATTTCGATAACCATTCGAATCGAGAATGTGAAAAAGTGAGAAAGCTTGGGTACACCGTTACGAGGCTTGCAAGAAATCAGGATGTTACCAAGGATTCTCGAAAATTCGACAAAGGTACAAAAAAGGTTCACAGGTTTTCGTAATAGGGATCTGTGGACGACGAAAGCTCGAAACTTCCACGTAAAAACTTCGTCCGTGTACCGAGAGGAAGAGACGGGCAGAGAAATCGCGACGAGATGTCACAACGGAGAAATGTACGTAAAAAACCGTGAGCGCAACAGCACAGTCATCGCGCGATGACACATCGAGTTTCTTCCACTTGTGGTTCTGTCCATTTGGCGGAGCACTGCACGAGTCGCGACCATACGAGGCACATCGTCCGACGAGAAAACTGTGAACGATACCGAGCGACGACGACGCGTCGTCGAACGCGAAATCCTACACGAATGACGTGCCGGTCATTCATGGAGCCCGCCGTCATGCCGATGGAATGCGTACATCATGGTGGTGAAATGGTCCCGGCCAATCAGCGGCCGCCTAGCACCGGCTTCTGCGTCCGCGAACCACGCGCGCCACGTGACTTCGCAGACCCGACCACGTGACACTGTTGGCGCCTCCCACCACGGGATCCCAGGCTCCACGACACGATCGTCGTGACGTCACGACCAGCTGACTGCGCTAGTACGGTTCCCCACTCCTGTTCCTCGTCCTGCCGCTTGCTGCCGCTACTTGTGCTCCTCCCGTCTTCCATTTTTCGACGAATCCGTTTCCAACGCACCGAAATTGATGCGACGCGACTCTGCGCGTTATGCGAACCGAGAATAGTCTCGGGACGTGCGCTCACACGCGACTGGAGCTACCTTTTTACCGCAAACGGAACTGTGCTACGTTGACGACTTTGGGAATAAATTCTGAAAACGAATCTATCATTTGCCGCATAGATAACGTAGATCCTATCCTCTGGTCCTTTCGCTCGATAAACCGGAAGTCTGTATTGCTCGGAATTATACGACGGTAACGGAACAAAATTCAGAAAGAAATACTAACACACTCTACCAAATTAGCACAGGTAACGAAAAGATCCTTCAAGAAATTTGCAGTCCCTACAACAGGAACTCAATAATTCAAAAACTGCAATATGAACTACATAAAAAAAACGAACAACCGCGTATCAATTATCACCAAAAAAAAACAAGAAATTCATGTTTGGAAGAAACTGAGGGACCGCTAAATATAGACCTCGGTAATATTGGAATACCAAAAGAAGATGCACAGATTGATATAGCAAAAAGAATCTTAGAAAAATGGAACCAAGAGTGGTTAATCACTAAACATACTGATCTTCACGAGTCAAGAGAAAATATATTTTCAAGAAACCCTGCTATTTCTCTACCAAGAAGAGAACAAATTCTAATAACCCAATTAAGAATAGGTCATACAAGACTAACACATAGCCACCTAATTACAAAAGAAAACCCCCATACTGCACAAAACTGCAATACAAAAATCACAGTAAAACATATAATAGAAGAATATCCATTGCACGATAATATACGCGAAACAAGAAGCCAACCAAACACCCTGAAGAACAGTTTAAACGACAAGAGTTGCATACTAAAAATCTTATCATATTTACAAAGGACAAGATTAGCAGAAGAAATATAGGCCACATATAAACAGGACACTACAACTAAATTATTAACTATTTTTTTATTATTAGATGTAAGAAATTTGTTATCTAAGCATAAGTAATGATCTATGTAAATTATTTATGACTCACATATGAAATTTATAGAACGTAAAAAAAATGTAATCCACAGTGGTCGCTAATGGCATAAATGCTGATGCGACATTAAATAAATTAAATTACAAAAAAAAAAATATTCAGAAATTTCAGAACATATTGTAAGAAGATTGGTATTCACGTTCTTGTTCTAGTAGAGTTGAACGAAACCTAGGGTTTTGCCCATCACTGTTCTATTAGGTGGACTGGAAAGTAATGTCGTTTTTGCCATCCTAAATACTTGTTTATCATTTATCAGCTCATTGATTTTTCTGGCATTGAAAATTTGCACACTAGGTGGTAAAAGGCTGCTGACAATGAGGGCGATTATATAATGAATTAAAGATAGAAAATTGGAAAGTTTGAATTGAATGTATTGGGCTGTCTGGAAAGTCCATGGCGATTTTTAGTAGGCGGTACAGGTCTGAATATATCGGAATGGCTGAAAACAAATAAAATGTGTACATTCCTTAACAGGTGGAAAGGTTGTGGAACAAAATGGTACATATATAATTCAATAAATATATATCAAAATTCACATATGCCTTTGAATTTTTCTTAAAAATAGGCACGAACTTTCCGGACAACCCAATAAAAGAAACGACATTACTTTTCGGTCTACCTAATACCTCGGTGTGCGAACCAATAAAGTTCAGTTAGACAAAATTCTTTTGTCCGTTTACTCACCAGGGTCGAAGTCAGTCCCTCCAGCATCCATTCCGCCTGGATTACCATATCCTAAAAAGAAAAAGAAGAATGTCAGTATTATACAAATGGCCACGAACAAAATAAAAACTAATGCAAATAAAGCAAGGCTCGAAAAGTGAAATGGTCGATAATTTGCAATGGAGAACATGAATAATCGAGCCGATATCGAACAGTGGCGACTGCTTTACAAGTGGTAGTATTTTGAAAACGACATATATAAATATTTATCGATATAGAAACGTCTCGCGTAACGTTCGGAACTCGAAACCGACAATTATCGACACGCGAAGCATGAATAGAGAATTTTTACTCGATTCTAAATACCGATCGATCCCGTGTCTCGATAAATATTTCTTTAGCAACACTTTCGTTGCCAATTTCTAACCGATCCGCTGAGAGATTATCAAAGCCTTGGATCGATCCAACGTTTTTAAACGATAAATTGAATTACCACCGTCGCTAGCAGATACATGTCGTGACCGTTTCGTTTCGAGGCCAAGATCCACTAGCTACTGGGGGTGGGGGTTGCCTATGGCACGTGTGAAATTTACGCGAATCGTGGCCAGACGGTTCCGTCGTTTTTGTGTGCACACGTTTGCCGACGTGTTGGTGCGACTTTCGTGGCTGTGTCGCGTGCGTGCGTGTGCCAGATACGCGGATTGGCAAGTTACATCACGCGTGTTCATTCGGGACCATTCCGGTCGTCTCGTCGAGCGCGGTCAGGGTGTCTGTCACACGGAACTGACAACAGAGAACGGTCCCGATCAACTTTTCTTTATATGCTCCGATAACTACTCCCTGTATTCCCTGTATTCCCCGATTCGTCCTCTCCCTACTTCTTCTTTACGTGTGTATCAATCTAACACGAAATTATTATCGTCGAAATAAACGAATAATTGGAAAACCAATCGTCATGTAAAATAAAAATCTGCCGAATATGCCTGCACTTGACTAATAGTAGTTTCGATTAATCTCTTTAATTAATCTCTTTATTTTGAGTAGCTTTCTTTGCGATAAATTAAAATCAAAAGTTCTGGTATTAATAATTAGAAAAAATATTTTCGAAACCTACATTTAAAGATTACGGATACTGTTATAAAACAAAAGCTAGTGGATGGTGTGAACGTTAACTAGGTTATGTCTTATAATAATATTCGTCGAGTCCTTGCTCGCGTGCATTATTTATAGTTCTCCACTTTAAGTTCGGAAGACTACTTTTATTTCGAATCGGAGATACGACTTTTTATTTATTTCATGAAACTCAAATCATGGAGGTTAGAGTGTTTGTATAAATCAAGTGGTATACGATTAATTTTATTAGAGAAAATATTTTAATTACTGGCCCCATTGATGTGTTGATATTCTAATTAGTCCAGTGCATATTCGACAGACTTGTAGTTATTTTCCTCGATAACGGTTCGTAAAAAGTGTGACGTGACACTCGAAAAGTTTCTTTAGAAATTTTGAACATATCGATAGCGATTTTTGATATCTAAGGAAATCGTCGAGATTAAGGTTAAGATCGAGGGTTAATTATGCGTACGATTAATAATAACGATTTCGCGGTGGACGAATAATTTGAGGAGAAACAGAAACGAGGTGAAACTCAAAAGCACGAAGTAGAAAAAGGTGAGAGTGTGTGCGAGAGCGAGGAACGAAACAAGCGATAAAGAGAGAGAAAATATGAGTACGAACCGCGAGGTAAAGAGGGAGCCAGAGGGGAAGAAAGGACAGATAGCGTGCGAAAGAGACTAGGTGGAAGCGAGAGAATACGACGGAAGGAGGAAAGAGGACAGGGTTCGTCTCTCAGGCCGATACGCGGCCGGCCATCTTGGATCCTGGGTATCGTTGGAAAATAGCGATTCTTTTCGGCGGTTGACAGAACGCCACGAGGGCTGAAAGGAACGATCGGGCGTGTGCGATTCCGCGGTGCTCGCGGAACCGTGTCCGCGAGGTAACCGCGACGAAAGTTGTTGCGTCATGAAAACGACGGTCCTGGTGACCGAAGTTGCAGGCACACGGTGCCACAGCCACGGAAAGATGTCGGGTCGCGCACATTTGCAGCGCGTATCGTGAATCGCGTACGATACCTAACACGTCGAGCAATCGTGCACACAGGGCCATATGATCGCTCGAGGCTTACTTTGCGGTTGATCGTCCAGGCTTTCCCGGTCGGACATTGCTGTTAACGCGGTTTCTTTCTTCGGTTCCACGCGTCGTCCCTCGACGTCTCGGCAACAGGCCCCAACGACAACCAAAAATCCCCGGCACTGTCCGTGGCGCTACCCCGATATATATTACCCACTCAACCAGCCAGCTCACCAACCCAGCACACCACTTGCGAATTTTTCTCTTCTTCACACACCACGGTCCGACCGCCGACCGACCGTCCGTCCACGGCACCAGTCGTCACCACCACCACCACACGCTCGCTCGCTCTACACCGTTCCACGCTCGCTGGCCCGACTCGCGCTCGCTCGCCCTCGCTCGCTCGCTCGCTTGACTCGCTTCTTCGTCTTTCACTCGCGCTCCACACCGATTCCTCGTCGCGGTGCGAGTGAGCGAGACACAGAGTTACTTACTCTTACTCTACGCGTACCCACACACTCACGACCTTTCGCCGTGGGACCTGCGCCTGTCCATCTATATAAGACTGCTTCATAGCCGCAGCCACGGAATCCGACGACGACACAGAGAGCGCAACTACCTGCGACTACCGCCGATGCGAGCCGAGCCCGAACTATACCAAGCAAATGACTGCTGCCATCTCGGCCGGCCATCTTGCTACGGTCGCCTAGCAACGCCATCTGTTCGAAACCGCGGCAAAATTCGAACGCTAAAATTCTCGCGCTACTACTCTCACCTACAGGATGTCCTAAAAATGTTGTAAGACATTGAAAGAGGTGGTTCGGGAGGTGATTTGAAACAACTTTTTCCTTAGCGAAAATGTTGTCCGAGACTTTGTTATGGAGATATTAACGGAAAACGTCGACCAATCAGAGCGCGCGTATACCGTTGGAGCGGCCGTGGTAGCAAAGGCTACGAGCTAAGCAGCGGCGTCCAATGTCCTTCGATGCACGTCGAGTCGCTTGTTCGCGTACAAGCGCGCCGCTTAGCACATAGCTTTCGCTACCGCGGCCGCTCCAACGGTATACGCGCACTCTGATTAGTCGACGTTTTCCGTTAATATCTCCATAACGAAGTCTCGGACAACATTTTCGCTAAGGAAAAAGTTGTTTCAAATCACCTCCCGAACCACCTCTTTCAATGTCTTACAACATTTTTGGAATTGTATATCCTGCGATTGTATATCCCCCCCTGTATATCGAAAATCCTATTACGATATGTTTGCAACTTCTATTAAACGAATCCTGTCGTCGAATTTGTACACAAACGGTCTATTGTATTCTTTTGAATATTTATACGTGTTCATATGTTTGATAATAAATACGTTAAATCCGCTACATGTTCATCCATATCGAAAATCCTATTCTGATATGTTTGCGACTTCCATTGAACTTTCAATATCCTGTCGTCGAGTTTGTACATAAACGATCTATTGTATTCTTTTGAATATTTATATGTGGTCATATTTTTGGTAATAAATACGTTAATAAATACGTCCGCTATATGTTCACTATGTATCCGAAAATGTTCAGTATATTTGCAGGTTAACCCTTTGCACTCCAGGCCTTTTTTCTGGTATCTGGCAGCAACTGGAGATGTTTCTTAGCTTTCTGTTGCCATGAATTCTAAACTATCTAGATTTGAGAATAAGGTGTTTATTGACACTTCAAGCTCTAAAGAAACATTAGGTATTGTAGATTTGCTGCGTGAAACTTAACAATGACTGAGAGTTACCTCTCTAGCGCAAAGGGTTAATATGTGTCTATGTGTAAGATTTGTTCATGTCCATGCATATATTTGAGGCGAATAATAATACAATATCAACGCAAACAATTTTAATTCTGGTTTATATACATGTTCTGTATATTGCTTCGATATTTCTTTAACCGTATGCTTTAAAAGTACTGTATTTTTTCTTTAAGTATTTCGACTGCTGCTTTGAATGGAAAATTTATCTTTAAACGTATCAAAGCATATTGATACATTAAGGAATAAATCATGTCATGTATCAAATATGTATGATCTTACGTACGTATAGAACAGCATCTGCTATTGGCTTTACATGCAGCATTGGCATTCTGTTGTTTGATATACAGCAAACGTAAACATGGATTAATGTAATTTCACAGCTATCGTACACAATTTCTTGTAAACCTGTAAAATACAATATTTATTAGTGGAATTGTGACTGTAACAATATATATATTACCCTTCCTGTAACATACAACAAATACGTTATATAAATTCAACAGATAACACATGTGGGCATTTTTAATGCAATATTTATTACTTTGTGAAACTGATCGAAGATATTACGTGCATTCTGCAAAGTATTCTGCAAGTATTCGCATATAACCTAACCAACGAAGTGATTGTCATAGATAGCGCCACTAGTTGACCGTACCACAATGGCCAAAGGACGTTTGCAGGTTGAATTTTTTATCTATTATCATATCTTGTAAAGGAATGCATTGTATCTACCACATTGTACAGAGCTGCGTTACTTATGCTATGGAAACTCTCTCTCTCTCTCTCTCTCTCTCTCTCTCTCTCTCTCTCTCTCTC